ACTGGGTGCATGTGTGTGAATACCCAAAGTTCCGAGAGGAAAATGGAGAAGGGATTGTGGCATGGTCTTCCTCCCTAGGGTGAGGGAGAGGTGATTTCTCACTTTTCTCCTCTCTCTCTCTCTCACTCTGGTGAGTGTAGACACCCAATAGTAAACTAAAAAAGAGAACATAAAGAAGAAAGGTAGATTATTAAGGAGTGTGTGAGGCCATTGTATAACTTTTATGATTTTGCACACCTGGAACTGTTCTTTTCCAGATGCATCAAACCTCTCTGGCTCCATGCTTTTTTCATTTTTGCTGTATCCACCTTGACAGTTGCCCACCGTAACATTCTCCATGCTCAGTCCTACCATTTTTCCTATTAAAGTCCTGCTCATCCTTCAAGCCTAATCTCAAATGCTGTTATCATTCATGAAGTTATTCTTCACCCTCCCCAAAGAGATGGAACTTGTCCCACTAAAATTTCACGTAAAATTCTCCTTGGGCCTTGGCCTTCATCTTAACACCCTGTTGTCTTGGGTTAGTGGCACAGTGGGGGTACTACAGTGTAAATTATCCACAGGTAACAGAGTCTTCCCCATTCTTTCCTAGGAGCACAACAGATTGGAACACAATCAATATTTGCAAATTACATCGAATATTTAAAGAAGGGAAAACTCTACATGAAGCAAGGGAGGGGAATGATGTAGAAGTCTTTATATCCTCTTAAGGGAAGTATGAGTCCACCAACTGAAACTTCCTGTAAATGCATTTCGAAACATTTGAATCTTTGTTAATGTGGTGATCCCTTTTAGAGGCCTAATTTGTCATGACCTGCCTTACTAACAAACCTTAGTTGTTCTCCCACATCTTCCTAAGAGCTCTTGCTAACAAAACAAGGAAAAAATATTAAAACTGTCAAAACAGACAAAACAAAAGCCAAGAGGAATTATAAAACCAGCTAATGTAAGAAGTACTCACTCTGTGTCAAGCACAGTGCCATGCACTTCACATCCATGATCTCATTTCATCTTTCCACAACCCCATGAGGCCTGGGTAACTCAGTTATCCTCAGGGGACTAAGTCATTTTTCTAGGTATTTTTGTAAGTCATTTTCTAGTATTTCAGGACTGGAATACTTCCTGTTCAATGGCTGTGTAAGTATCTGTCCTATTTGTTTTTATAAAATTTTACATAGATTATCTTCATCTTTTTTTTCATCTTTTTTTTAAAAAGAATTATCTTATTTAACTTTTTTTGTAATTTGACCAGAGAGCAATAGAATGAGAGAGAGAGGCAGAGAGAGAGAGAAGAGAAGAGAAGAGAAGAGAAGAGAAGAGAAGAGAAGAGAAGAGAAAAGAAGAGAAAAGAAGAGAAGAGAAGAGGAAAAGTGGGAAAGCAAGTCACCAGGTCCAGGACTTGAACAGCAGACAGCCATGTAGGAGTCCAGCACCCTTAACCACAATGCCACCTGCCAGTCCAGTTCACCTTTTATTTTTTTTTTTAAATAAAAGAGGTTTTTGCTTTAGGGCACATGCACTTGTCGAAACAGACTGCAATCCTTTCTTTTCCATTCTTCTCCTGGGATCTTGAGCACCCGTGCATATGTACCCAGTGTGATTTTCAAGCCACTGGGTCCAAGACTCAAATGCAGTCAGCCATGTGAGAGCCCAGTGATGTAACCACTATGCCATCCATGGGCCCCATCTTCTTCATCTTTAATAAAGTTTCCTCGGCAGACAAATCCTTATATTGTCTTTATTTTATAGATGCAATGGAAAGCCTCACTTTAAAAACTGTCCCCAATCCACCACTAAACATAAATAACATTCCCATTGTTTATGAATTGCTAATTTTGTACATATCGGGGGTCAATGGTATCTTAGAAAATAATTCCTACTATATATCTATCTTTTGATTAACCTATTAATCAACTGAAAAATTCATTCATGGTTGTCTGTTGATATCTTTTCTTAAACTCTAGTGGCGTAAATCCCGTATGTAGGTCCCTATATGGGAGATAATGATATTGACATTCCTTTCGTTTATAAAAATGCTCCTTTCTTGGTGCTATGCTAGATAGACCACGACCATATTTCTATTTAAAAAAAAAAATATGCATCATGATTTTTCTGACAACCCAATAGGTAAGGAAGATAATTTGTGTACGAGAGTTTCTTTAAGAAGTTTATGAAAAATGTGTATTATTTAAAAAAATGCATGGATTTAAAAAAATTTTTGAACTGAAATAAATTCATACTTTAATTTCATTTTCTGTCTATTCTTTGACGTCTCCTTGTATTACCTGACTACATTGGTTCTACTGTATCATATTTGTCACTCTAGATTAGGCAACCTGAGAAGATGTTTGCAAATGTTGATCACGTCATAGGTTGTTAAGCCCTATGAAATTAGGGCCTTTGTACATGTAGGGTAATGAATTTCATAGTTTGGGATATTTTTGCTTGGACTTGCAGAGGCCAACACAAGGATATCCAAATGGAGAGCATCTTTTCCTGCTGCTGGAGCCAAATTGAACTGTTTGATACAGAATTAAACTGCACCAGCATGCTCAACTTATTAACTATACCTCATATTTCTTAAATCTTAAATTTCCTTTTCCTTAGAGACCAATTCATCTGTATATCTAAACATAATAATAATAATAATAATAATAATAATAAAAGCACTTTCTCAATTCTGCATTCCTGTATGGCTACCCTTTTTATCTTCCCTAGTCATATTGGCCAAATATCTTATCAGAGTGGCTTATGTTCTATTTTCCTCTTTTCTTTCATTGCTCAATTCACTACTTGTTCTTCCACTTTTAACAAAACCACCATCTTCCCCTTCTCTATTCCCCTTCCCTATGTTTGACAGTTCTGGTGGTTACACTGAAAATGCCAAATCCAACTGAGATGATTTTTTTCTCCTAACTTTTATAGCCCTCTGAGGCCATTACATTGTTGGATGGTTCTTTCTAGTTTATTTCATGGGCTCTTCTTCCTCTAAGTTCCTCTCCCCTTTTGCTTTAAATTCTGGTGTTTAGGCCAGCCAATGGTATGATAGTTAAGGCAGCTGAATCCCACAGGACGCCAGACAGCATGTTGAGTCTACCATATGTTGAGTCTACCGTACGTTGAGTCCTGGAGGCAGTGTACTGAAAAAGAGGTGGGCAGGTATGCCTGCCAAAACTCTTGAAAGGAAAATGGAGGAGAAAGGACTGTGAACTGGTCATCCTCCCTGGGGGATGCTTTCTCAATTTTCCTTTCTCTTTCTTTTGCCCTGGTCAGCACATGCACCCTATAGGGGGAAAAAAAAAATTAAAAATAAATAAATAAATTCTGGTATTCTCCCAGCTTCCAACCTGTTTTCCTTGGCCTTGTTTATACACACCTGGGTTGTGTTTACCTACTGTCATGGTTTCGCCCACCATATCTAATGTTCTCATATCTACCTGGCATTTCCACAGAGCTATAGTCTTAAATATCAGAGTGGATCCTGGACATCACAGTTGTATTCCCACAAGTTCTCTAAATCCATATGTACAAAATGAAGCTTAGCATCTCACCCTTAAATATGCCTCATTGATATAGTCAACTACTGCGGGCTCATAATCACCTAACCACTGAAGTAAAAAAACCTGAGTAACTTTAGCCTCCTCTTAAATCTAAGAATCCACTTATTTCTTAAGAGTTGTTTCCAGGACCAGCAGATGGCGTAACAGCTATGTTGCTGGACTCCGACCGTGGTTCGAGTCCCAACCCAGTGGCTTAAATTCATGCTGTGTGTGTCCAAGATCCTGAGAGGAGAATGGAGGAGAATGGATTGCTGCCTGGCCATCCCCCTTGGGGGGTGATTTCTCCTTTTCTGTCTGTCTTTCTGGGGAGCGCATGTGCGCCCTATAGCAAAAACCTCTCAAAAAAAAAAAAAAAAGAGTTCTCCCCATTCATTTCTTCCTCTCTATCTTTACTTATTACTTACCTTTGTTGTCTTCCAACATCTTCTGCCTGGACCATTTTAAATTTCATAATTCCCCTGCCTTTGGTTTTGATACCTCATAATCATTTTTTGAATACCACCAGAGTTCTCTGTAACAGAAATCTGACCACGCGTCTCATTCCTCTGCTTAAAATTCTGCGATGGGTCCTCAGTGGATGCATTCAGGGTTATATGCAATGAAACTTGTCCTCTACTGGCAAGGCGTCCTTCCGTCCTCCCTCACCTTCTCTTGGGTGGGCCCCAGAGCTGAGTTAGATGTCCCATATCTAGCACATAATTATTCCATCTAATTATCTCATTTATACTTTCTAAGATGGGAATAATGGAGTATTCTGGTTTTGATTCCCAGGGCCTGGAAATGTACATAATAATCACTAAAAAAGATTGAACTGAGCTAATTCCTACCGGTTGGCGAATATGGTAAGCTAATGGGAAAACAGAACTTGGCAAATAGTTTACAACGTGTTTATTTAGGAAATGAGGAAGAAAAAAAAAAAAAAAAAAAACCTTTGGGGCCCCCCAAAAAAAAAAAAAAACCTTTCGTGCCTCCCCGTCGGGGAATCGAACCCCGGTCTCCCGCGTGACAGGCGGGGATACTCACCACTATACTAACGAGGAACTGCACAAAAGCCGACTTTCCCGTAGGTCTTTTATGCTGTAGCGTTTTGCCCCGCCTTCGCCAATAGAGGCAACTTCGCAGTCATCGCAGTTTCCATACCTCGAAAGGAACTAAAATGAAACGTCAGTTCGCTCTCCCGGTTCCACATCATTTCCCTCAGCCCACCCTTTCTCAAGCTATCCCCACTCTCCTCACAGTTGTCCCTCTCCCACCCCGACAGCAGCCTCGGTCCCCTCTGTACCCGCCAACCCGCCGCGCCCAGGTAGCCTAGCGCAAGCCCTGCCGCGCGGCATCACGGTACTTGTAGTTCCACCCACGCTGTCCTCCTCGTTCTTCTGTCTTCAAGAAACTTCCTTTCCCGGTGTGCAACGCGAGTCTCCCTCTTCTTTACCTCTCGCCTTCTTCCCCCGCCTCCCAGTCCAAGTCTGGCAGCTAAAGGTTAGGGCTCTCTGGTCGGTGAGCACCTGGTCACCCAGAACCATGCCGGAGGCAGTGGATACATGTTCTTTGGCCACTCCGGCTTCCGTCTGCCGGACCAAGCATTTGCATCTGCGATGCAGCGTGGACTTCACTCGCCGGACTCTGTCCGGGACCGCAGCGCTCACGGTGCAGTCTCAAGAGGACAACCTGCGCAGCCTGGTACCGTGGGGCGCCAGCCCAGGGCCCGCCTTTCCCGGCCACCCTCCTCTACCCTTGCCCCAGTTGCCCTGGGATCGCTCACCCAGCCGCGGCCCTCGCCGTCCCCACGCCCTCGCTGCTCCTCCGCCGTCCCTAACCCAGGCTCTGCCCCTCTTCAGCCCCACTCGCCCCACAACGCCCCCTCTGCAGCCCCACCTACACCGTTGCATCCCTTTTCTATCCTTCTCTTCCCCGATTCTTCAGAATCTCCCCCTTCCCCTCCCCCTTTAGGACCCCTTCCCCAGTTCCTGGACCATCCTAGCGTTCCATCCACACTTCGCTCCTCTCCCAGCCCTCAGTGCCTCCTTGCGGTGTCTCCCTTCTCCCTCGAAACCCTAGTTCCGCCTGCTAGCCTCCTAGTGGCCTTCCCATTTCTTCCGCCTGCAGCCCAGAACCCTCTCCTCAGGCCCCAGATTACTCCCAGCCCCTAGCCGAACTTCCTCAGAACAGTTTCATCCAAGTTTCAGACACTACACCCTGTCGACCCCCGATCCCACTCTTCCCTCCCAGACACCGTTGTTTCAGCCCGCAGGTCCGCAGAGCACGACCCGCAGCTCACCCTGTTCCCTCGTCTTTCTGCTAGTCCTTCTCAGGCCCTTTTGGATTCCCAGCCCTAGACCCTTGCTTTGAAACTTCCAGCCTTTGCTTTCGAACTCTAGGTGCAGCTATTTCTTTAGGGGAGCGGGGGACGGGGGAGTGAGTCCTGCTACCGATGGTTCTTAAAATCTGTATCTTCTATTAATTTAAGGATAGGTGGGTTACTCAAGTTCTCTAAGGATGACTCAATTCAGCGAATTAATAGTTGATTCCAAGGAACAAATAGTCATTGCACTTCTTAGAATATAAGGGCCCTAATCATTTGAATAAAGAAAGATTTATTTAGATTTGTGAATGTTGTTCAGTGATTTTTATTTGTGCGATATAACCTATATTCAGTGTTCTTACATTGATAATGCTTGGATTGTAATTTTCTCCTGAAGAATTTCATAGAACATTTTAGAAATAAGAGAGACTTGAAAAGACCAGCCATTTTCAGGCTTCTCACCTGGGAAGCGCGTTTTGCACGATACGTGTCGCATGGTGATGTCACAGCAATAAGTAATCACGTCAGTTTTGTTGTAGGTTAGATGGAAATTTGTGGGGTTAATAATCAGGCAAAAGTATAAGTATAGGTAAGAATGGATGCTTTTCATGCCTCATTTTCCCTACTTGTGTAATAGATCTGTATTATGAGTTCATTAATATGAGCTATTAAAGCACTTAACTTTCTTTCTTGCTTTCCGTCCTTTAATATTTTACTAGACTAGTTAATTTGAACAATAGTCCAGTTCCTCCATGTATTGATATGTATCTCCAAAACTTCTGTAAGAAAGAAGATAAATAGAAGTATTATATGCAAGAAGGATCTGTTTTCTCATAGGTTGTACTTTGGTCTTCAAGTGCATGCTATCTTTATTGCAGGGCAGCTTTGCATGGTCAGGGTTCAGGAGAATTCTTGTTTCCAAGTAATCTCTTTTATGAAAAGAAAGTGAATTTTGATGGCTTATCACTGTGTAATATGACCTTGCACTCTCCTCTGTTTTGTAAAACACTACCGTGAGTGAGCATAAGTCAGGACGCTTACATTTCTAAAAGACTGTCCTGATCTAAGAATTGGCACATTGATTTTTACATTCCCCACATTGAGAGAAATTAAAAATTGAAAATTATGATTTTTTTTTTGAGAGGTTTTTGCTATAGGGCACGTGCGCTCGCCAGACAGACAGAGAGAGAGACAGAGACAGAAAGCGAGAAATCACCCCCAGAGGGGATGGCCACGTCACAATCCCTTCTTCTCCACTCTCAGGATCTTGGGCATGCATACACACGCACCCAGAGTGAGTTTTAAGCCATCGGGTTCGGGACTTGAACCACGGTCAACTACATGGGAGTCCAGTGACATAGCCATTACACTAACTGCTGGTCCCTGTAAATTATGATTTCTACTTGGCATGTTTGTTTAGTACATTAGAGGCTGGAGTTATAATAATATTAGCGATTTAAACAAAGAAGGCTATTTGTCATATAACAGTAACATGTCTGTATAATTGTTTGCTTATTTATGACAATAACCTGAGGCCATGTGGTGGGTCATGTATATGTATATTTTTTTTTAAAGGATTTTTGCCATAGGATGAGTGTGCTCACCAGAGACAGAGACCATAAGAGGGAAAGTGAAAAATCATCTCCCAAGGGAGATGGCCATGCTGCAGTCCCTTCTCTCTTCTCCTCTTGGGAGTTTGTGCACATGCCTGGGATGATTTTCAAACTACCTACCAGGTCTGGAACTCGAACTGTGGTTGACCATGTAGGAGTCCAGTGCCTTAACCACCATGCCACCTGCTGGTCCCTAAAATAAATAAATACATAAATAAATATTTTTTAAAAGTTAGCTTTTTTCTTTCCTTCACTATGTTACAGATTCTTGAAGGTAGGACCTGTTTTATATCTTATTAAATTTCAAATTCTTAGTATAGCACCTAGCATGTAGAGGGCACTCAAAAGTTTGGTTAATGGGTGAACTGAGTTACAAAACAGTGCCTAAACTAAGCACAATATGGGCGACCCTAATAATAGTGCTAACTCTATCTCGAAGGTGAGCAGGCCACACTTCAAAACAGATGGAGAGGACCCAGTCAGTGCCTGTGCTGGGTGAGGTGTTCTCATAATTTGGTTTCCTCTCCGTTTTGGGGGTCTGTGATCCCAAGACACAGACCAGATCACAAGACCTAGTTTGGTACTCCAGCTTTGTGATCACTTTCAAACATTTGCTTCTTTTACTGAAATTTTCTTTTTTCTTTTGCCAGAGTGCATGTATGCTTACTAGAGAGAGGAAGAGGGAGGAAGCACCCCTCAGTGAGGCAATGCTGATGGTGCAATCCCGTCTCCATTTCTTCACCCTGTCTGGAGTTTGGGCATGCACACACACCTGGCATGTTTTTCAAGCCTGGGGGCCAGGACTTGAACTGCGCAGTGGGCATGTGAGATCTTGATCCCCTAACTGCCAGGCTGCCGGACTGGCCCAGACATTTTCATGGTATTTCTGGGTGTTCTTTCATTTGGTGTCTCAAAGTAGTTTTAGTGTCATGGTCAAAATCATATCCTCATACATGGCAGAAGTCAGGAATTGAACATAGGTGTTTTATATTTAAAATTTTTCAAAGTCTCTTTCTTCCATGAGAGTGAGAAGGAGAACGATAAGTACCTTCAATCTCACACGGTGATCCTCCCCACACCAGCTGCCTTCCCAGCCAGGCCGAATCGAGGGCTGGCACACCTGGTTTATACTGGTCCTCAGGAACTAACCCGTGATCTGCCATGTGGACGCAGCATTGCTTGAGCAGCGCGTCACTGCTGTGTTCATGACTTTCTTTCTGATGGCAAACCCTCTGGTTTTTACTAAGTGAATGGCTGAGCTGGGAATCCAATCAAGGTTTTTCGTTTTGATTTTGTTTTAACATATAAGCCCATTTGTGAGGGGATGAGAGGATTTGTTTGTTTGGTTCATCATTCCATTCTGCAGATAGCAAGTAGAACATGTCAACACAGAAGGCCAGCCAGTGGCTTGGTGGTTAAGATGGCTGGATCCATATGGCTGACGTGGGGTTGGAGTCCTTGGACCCAGCAGTGTGAAAGGCCCACCAGCACATGTGCATGCCCAGTTCAGAAAGGAGAAACACGGTGGGGGAAGTGGGACCTTCTCACTTTGCTTCTCTTTTTATCTCTTCCTCTGTCTCAGCAAGCACACATGCCCATTGAACAAATTTTTTTAAAAAGAAAAAGAAGAAAATATAAACTTTTCAACTTTGATAAAGCAACAAGGCTTAGGCTTTTTTTTTTTTTTTTTAGATTTTTGCTATAGCGTACACACACTTACTGGAGAGACAGATGAAAAGTAAGAAATTACTCCCAAAGAGGGGGAAAAGGGACCAGCAGATGGTATAATGGTTACATTGCTGAACTCCCACATAGTTGACCGCGGTTCAAGTCCCAAACCTGGTAACTGAAAACTCACGCTAGGTGCATGTGTGTGTGTGTACCCAAAATCCCAAGAAGAGAATGGAGGAGAAGGGATTGCAGTGTGACCATTCCCCTTTTTTGCTTTCTGTCTCTCAAGTGAGCTCATATGCCCTATAGCAAAAATTTCTCTTAAAAAAAAAAAAAAAAGAAAGAAAGAAAAAAGAAATCTACCCCCAGAGGGAATGGTCATGCCATTATCGCTTCTCCTCCATTCTTCTGTCAGGATTTTGAGAGGGTCGTCAAGGGCTATGAGTGGGACAGAAGTTAAAGTTATTAGAAAAGACCATGTTTATCAGGTGGTTTGCCTTTTTAGTAAAAAAAGGAGTTAGAAACCAAACTAAAGAAAGGGGCGGGAAGAGTGATCAATGAGGAGGTGGAAATAGCAGCCACAGGTTGTACTTGGAGTTTAAGGAAGGAAAAAGGGAAAATAGAATGGCAGTGGCTTCAAGTGGAATTTTAAATATAATATGGGAGGCTTGTTTAGGTTGTTTGGGAATAGTCTTGTGACATGAGATGGTTGAAGATTCTAGAACAAAAAGATCTGTTGAGAGATAATGAAAGGATAAGGCTCAGAAAGGGGATTGGTGGAATGGAAAATATTCACACACTTGCTGCCACCCCTTCCTGCTCAAAGCAATTGTCCTTCATTAGCCATGGCAAGTAAACGTGCCATAAACCCCCATTAGGTCATTTGGTCAGAGCTGCCTTATAAAGTTGGATTTTTTTTCTAGCTATACAACAGCAATGATACACAGTCTTATTTACCTAATAAGCCCCAGAGTTTAATTTTTGGGTAATCATAATAGTTTACCTATATCCAGTACTAATTTTCTCTGATGTATGAAGCTATTTTCTTATTTTAAAATGTTAATTTAACTTTAGACTTTGGATACAAAGGACCTTACAATAGAA